GTAAAGGCCGGATTCGTGGGTGATTAAGCAATCCTAAAATTTATTGAAGCAAGTGCTGCTAAGCACCCTGAAACTTTGTAAAATATACACCCATCACCTCTAATAATTTGGAAATTGGCGCTAATGCTCGTAACCATAGTATGTTCAACTTCAATTAGGTAACCACTCCAAATCGTATGACTCGTGGAAAATAACTACAGAAACAGTGAATGAATACAAAATGCAAGAACTGTAACAAACTCTGAAGTAGGTACATGAAACTAGTGCTAATGGTAACAGATGCCTCAAAGCAGAAGGACCAAACTTTAAAAAGAAAAAAGGGTTAAGTGACTCAGGGTGTGCTCTTTTTTGTGGTATATGATAATCTAGTAGAGATCTTGCCAATCGCCTAGCTGTAGTTACCTCAAGAACAATAAGATATACATTAACATGAAGGGGTTTCAACGGAATTTTTTTTTGCTCAAAAACTATTGCTTATTGTTTATAATATAAACAAACAAAAAGACTGAATGGGACACAAGACTTCAGACAATGGGATGAGCAAACTTTAAGGAACACACTTCTTGCAGATGAACCTAAATTCAAGCGTTTCGGCAACAATGAACAATATTTTGTTAAGTGGCAGAGAGGAGAAAAGTATTCCAGTCAACGAACAACATTTAAAGTGAAGTATAATGGGGGATCGATACAAGTGTGGCCTGCATCTCAGCCAATAATGTCAGAGGTCTACATAAAATTGATGGAACCCTGACTTCTGAGAGGTACAAGGAAATTTTTATCCATCATACCATTCCCTCACAAACAAGACCTTTTGAGCAGGAATTCCTCTTCCAGAAAGGAAGAGACCGCAAGCATGCAGCAATTGTGATGAAATAATAACTGGAAAGAAAAAGAAGCTGATGGAACACTTGTAACCTTGACTTAGCCACAGAGACAAAGCGAACTCCCTATATTGGTTGGGGCATGCATGACATTATGTTTTTATTTTTGCTCTCTTTACATAGTATATTCAAATGAACCAATTGTGAGTTTTACTACCTTTTGTTGATTTTTTTTCAGTATTTTGGTTGTCTAAAATTTGTTGCAACAAGAAATTATTCATTTTCCACCTGGGATTTCCCTAAAAAGAGGAATAAAATTTTTTCTGACCGAATTCACAGAAGCTTGTGTTTGTACTGACAAATGGAATATGTGGAGGGAGAGGAACAGCATTCTCTGGCACCCTCCACCCCACTCCTTCGCTCCATCTCTGCTTGGCCTGCACAAAGAACTGAAATAAATATTAATATTGTATGGGCTTATGTGAAAACTGAAAAGATCAAAATTCCAACCAACTTGACTGAATTGTACGGAGTAATACAGGTCAACTGAAACAATATTTCACAATTATACATTAGTAAACTTATGCAATAATGTATTGTAGTAATGATAAAATGGACATTTAGTTGCAATTAAGCATTGTTTATGACTCTTCTATGCACATCATCTGTGTGTTTTCATAAGTATTTCCAATACTGTATTACTATTCATTTAGTTTGCTATATTCCACATGGTTCCTAGGAGTATAAATATCAGACATACCAATTTTCCGCTATGGTAAACAAAGAGGTAATAATTTGATGACGAGGAACCCACTTTGAGACTAATAATAGTTATATAATTATCAGGTACCCGATGATGAGAAAACCTTGTCGAAAGTTGTACATTTGCTGTTATGTTAAACTTATATTAAAGTTTTTCTTCATTACCCATTATTAAAGGGATAATAAGCTTGAATTACAGGTAAGCTAACATAGCTAACTGAACAAAATTAGATAAGTAAACTGCCTGCAATTAAATATTTTCTGTTGTGAATGGTTCAAACTAGACTGAAGATTAAGTACAATAATGTGATATGCTAATTATGCACATAATTTTATTACACAGGTACCCATTTTGCATAATCATTTTCATCTTAACTTTCAATAGAATGTAACAAACCCTAATAGCAATACTGCTTGAGCAGTATATATATTGATACATAATTATTCTCATATTTTATGTCCTCTTGGGATATATATTCTTGTTTAACCAGTTTTTGGTACATTTCTAATGGATTCTTAGAAAATCTGGTAGATATTTATTTTGTGACCGTATGTATAAGATAAGGTAATGACGTACCCTCCTTGAACATTACCTTTCTAATAGTCAAGTATTTGGTAATTCATTGCTCTAATCGATTGCCTTTCTGATAGTCAAGTATTTGGTAATTCATTGCTCTAATCGATTGCCTTTCTAATAGTCAAGTATTTGGTAATTCATTGCTCTAATCGATTGCCTTTCTAATAGTCAAGTATTTGGTAATTCATTGCTCTAAACGATTGCCAATTAGAGCAATGAATTACCAAATACTTGACTATTAGAAAGGCAATCGATTAGAGCAATGAATTACCAAATACTTGACTGTTAGAAAGGCAATCGATTAGAGCAATGAATTACCAAATACTTGACTATTAGAAAGGCAATCGATTAGAGCAATGAATTACCAAATACTTGACCATCAGAAAGGCAATCGATTAGAGCAATGAATTACCAAATACTTGACTATTAGAAGCTATTTTTGTTTGCATGACAGATTGATAAGCTTCAGCTGTAGTAAGCTTTTTGGATGCATCAATATATCAATTCATTATTTTCAATTTTCACCTTCTAATGGAATGCAGTCTTTTAGTCTACATGTAGGTTGATTACATTCTGGTACTATAGACAAAAAATACTTGTAATATTTTCCACAGATACCTGTTTTGTCTCATTATCTCAATACTACTAGCCAATTTCTATGCAATGCGTTTTTTGCCTATAAAAAACTGTAGGATACAAAAAAAGTTCAACACATAGGTTTCTTCTTCAACATTACTACTCCATTTGTTACCATCTCTTTGAAGAAAGTGAGTTACCTCACTCAAGCATTACCATATAACATAAGATGTACACATGTTAAAAGAAGATAATTACACGAGCCAAAACTTGTCATTGTAGTTACTCATCTTCTTCATTTGACCTTAATCCCATCCAGATTTGGGGTCGACTGCTCGAGTATTTTGCATTATTTGCCAAGGAGTTTTATACTTAGGTGGCTGGCCTTGACAGCAACCCTAAAGGACAAGCATGTATGGTGACATGGATTTGAGAATGCCAGTCGAGCACCCTAACCACCAGGCCCTTACTTAGTTACTGATATAGATTATTAACATATAGCTCACAGTTAACTTGCTACAGGAGAACTGTATAACAAAATGACCATATGAAATAAATGGTAAGAAAATACAGTAGTTTTAAAATTTTGTGGTTATGTGTAGTTCATTTTCTCAGTCCCATCAATCCTTTGAAGTTTTTGTTTTCTCGCTTTATGATCTAAGAAATCAATTCTTTTATTTGACGTTTTACTGGTTACAATTAAGTTAAAAACAGTTTTAAGAAAAATGGCACCATTTATTATTTTACCAAGAAAAAAAAAAGTGTATATAACATTTTGAAGAAACTAGCACAAATGTAATAAAAAACAAAAGTTATGGTTATAGAAAACAGTGGATGTAACAAAAAAGAAAATAATCACAACACTGTCCCAAAATATTGAGATAAACATACTTTAACATAAGGATTGAATAAGAAGAAACACAAATACATGCAGTATATAATGCTTTGTTTTTCCTCATATGGTTATATATATCAAACTTCTAGTTGCACAGTATTAAGTTCTGCTGATGAAAATCTTATTATGATTTCTGCAAATAAAAAGCTGCATTATTTTAAAACAACAAATATGTAGTAACTAAATTTTCTGTCATGTTTTCCAATTCTAATGAACTTCTGTATTAAGTTAAAAATAACAATATACCAATTTATCTGCAGTTAAGAAGTTTTCTGAATCTATAGATCTGTTATTAAATGCAAGCATCCAAATTAGTTACAGACAGCATTAACATCTGTTTGAACATCATTAGTGTCAAAATATGAGGCATAACTATCAATAAATTTTAATACAATTTTGAGCACAATGCTTGTAACATTACAGCAGTTGAACTTCAATCATACAGTCATAATGAGGAATTACTCTTTACATAATTCACTGATAATTAACAAGTTATTATACAATGCTGCATTACGCAAAAGGAAAAATAGTGTGGTATACATACCACACATCCGACAACAACAACAAAAACAAGCTTACTAACTGACAACACTGGCTTTTGATCAAATCATTGATTGCTACTCTAACAAGGTCAATATATTTGTGATTCTTGAATTCTAATACATGATCATAACTAACCAAAACAAAAGCTATGAAAAAATATGCTGCAATAATGAAATTAAAATAAAAGATTTTGTTTGATGATTAAGTACATTACAAGAAGTTAATGAAATGCATATTATGAAATATTTTTTAAAGTTTTTCAGTAATGATATGATATTGAAGATTATGTACATGTAAAAAGTGCACCATACAAATCTCATATTGATCACCATCAACCCAAAGAAGGACAGACAAACCTCATATTGATCATTATCAACCATGAGAAAGAGCTAATTGGCCTCCACATGAGAGGGTTCCAGAAGTAAACTAAATAACAGAGGTGCACACTTTAGCCAGTGAGGTCAATGTAAAAACAAAATCATCAAAGTGTTATAATGAAATGCTGTTGAAGGAAACACAGTCAAGTTTTTCTTCTTAAAAAGTTAACGTAAAACAGAAATGAATTCCTAGCTTTTAGCCTATGTTTGGAAACACTACCTACCACATATAGTTTTTGCCTATCTATGAAAAGAATTTGTACAGACAAAATAATATTAATAATTTTGTACCCTGACCTAAACTTCATTGTACGTTGATAAGAGTCACTACTTCTCAATTTGGCTTTCACAAATCATGATACGGGATATATATATATATTTAAAAAAAATTAATTTTAAATCTTCGAGATTTATATCTTCTTTATGAACAATTAAGAATGAAGTAGAGATGTAGTGGAATTTCTTTAATTGTTCTACAACCAAATGAATGCACTTTCTTGTATTTCCAGAGCTGGAATTGTATAACAACACTAATATATTCACTATGCACTGATAACATTATAATTCAGCAGTCCTACAGCTGCTTTATTAAAATGAAAGTGTTCTTCCAAGTGAAAGGAAGCACTGAGATGTGTCATTAAATCCAGAGATTAATTGGACTACCGAAGCCAAACAATTCTGAACAATCCACAGAAGAGGCAGAGATCAAGAAATCTGTTTTCATTTATTGAATTCTACTGTTGAGAATTAGCTGGAGACAATGGAGGAAGATGTCCCTAATAATAATAAAAAAAAAACTGTGCTAAGCAGGATTATGTATACACATATATATCCTTACCACTAATTATATCCATAATAATGAAATTTCAGTCACACATGCACTGATCGTTATGTGTATGTGTGTGTGTGTATATAGACATTATATGTATATCTGTATGGCTGCAGTTGGTGTGGTACTCTACGAAACATTAGAATTTTAAGTTTGTTTTCTTCTTAAGAACAAATAATAGAAACTATTATGATTTTTGCAATGAATACTCTTACTTTTATATAAGGTTTTCAACAGATGGAGTGAGTTGTGACAGGCCCAAGATTCCCTAGAAAACAATGTTTATTCTTAAAAAAAATTTTCCTTTGATGCACAGCTAGATAAAAAATTGGCTATGCATAGCACAGTGAATCAGTGAAAGTATTACACACACTCTCAGTACGTTACTTTCTTTCTATCCCAAATTTAACTTTATAAGTAATCAAAAATATTTGCAAGTGATCTTCCTAACAAAACCACCATAACCATTCTTCAAAAATTCATGATAAAATACACAACGTACTGAATTGTAGGGGAGTGGTCTTAAAAATAGATTTATTATATTACCTTTATCATTAAAAACACATTATAATCATTCACAATTCTCCTGAGAGAGAGAGAGAATTAAGTATGTGATATATGAACTTTATGCTAGGCACTGTTCAATAATTTAAGTCTTTTTAATTTAGAGGTAAAAAATTTCTATACTTTTATTAGTTTTTTGACATAAGAATGTTAGAAAGAAACAAATTTTTATAAATTAAAATATGCTGTGTTTTAGCCTATTTCTTCCCTTTAAAAAAAATATCAAATAGACATGAACAAGACGTGTTAAAACAATAAATAAACTCATCAAACTATGGAATACAAAATTTAAAATAGATAATGATTTTAACATTCCTGATAAACATGAGTGTAACTTAATACTTCAAATACTTTTATGCTGTTCTTAATGATGAAAATTACCATGTACATGTTCCAAATATTCAAAGAGTATGCCTGATCTCGTAAATATCACATGTATATTAATGATTTTACTCAGAAAAATATCTTTCCTGTCTTAATTTTTGTTGTTGTTAATTTTACACTATATATAAAGGAAAGACTACGAATCAAATTTTAAATGACTTACTGGCAGAGAAGTAGACATTTGATGGTGAGACAAAGGGTCTAATCCTGCTGATGGGTGATGAAGTCCATGCACTGCTAACTTTGGGCTTTCCTCACTCTTTTCTTCTTCTCTCCTTTTTAGACAAGCTGCCTTGGGGTTAAGGTTTCTTTCTGAAATAATGAAATGGAAAAGATAAACTATATATATATTGGTTTTTACATTAAATGAGTAACAACTTGTTGAATGGTTCCTTAATTACTTTTTATTAACTCGCTTAAGTTCATAAAAAAAAATCCTTTTTTAGTTATTTCTCTCTTATACCATAAGAACTTTATAAATTTAATTTGCTACTTAAAATTCAGTTAATTCCTTACATTTGTTTCATGTTTCCATTACAGATTATTATATATTTGTTAAGAAATCTTTAGATTGACAGGCAACAGCATCTGCAGTTAAGTGTGATTTAATCACTTTTGTTGTATCTTAAAAGCATTACTGCTTTGCCATTTTTAAAAAGTCAACTTAGACCATTCCAACAAGTTTCTGCTACTGCACAAACAGGATTATATCTATTCTATTAGCTGCTATTAGTTCAGCTCAGTTGATGTGATCTGGTGACAAAAGAAAGGCCACACAAAGAGAGCGACTTGGCAAAAAAAAGAAAAAAAGATCTGTACAGATATTTGTATGCATCTCTCATTCTAACTCCATAATGGATTAATGTGAGGAATGAAAAAGTTTGTAGTCAAAAATGATTTTAATCACTTGTGTCTCTGATAATTACAAAAACATAAATGGTAAATCCTGGTTTTAGTCTATTTTACATATGGTAACTGATGAACAGGTAAGCAAGTATTCTGTGTTGCCATCTCATTAAACTAGTTATATTTCAGATGGTTGTACTGTTAGTACATTGTATGTGAGACTTCAAAGTTTTTAAAAGATAAACTTTTAACCATTACCATTTTATGATAAAATAGAATCCAACTCATTTTCTTTATTACTAAATGTGTTTCTAGCAAAAATTAAACATTTCAACAAAGTACTTGAATACAAAGATAAATCCCTACCTAGATGAACAGTTTTATATATCTATTCTTTAAAAATAGATTAAATGTTAACCACCAGATATTTCAGATTTAAAGTTTTACATAATACACAATTTCAAATTCAAATCGAGATAAAAAACATTTGATTATGAAGTAATTGTTATCAAGGACATCCTTAAAGTCTCAGTTAGTCTCTACAGTTTTCATAACTTCTTTTTTACAGTTTGAAAAATTCAAACAATCTTAAAACATTGATCTCTTGTTAATAATGTCTTGCTTAGTCATTATGCTAGTGTAAAAATGTTCAGCACTCTCTACTCTGTAATAACCTTCAACCTAACTTTCTGTTTTGTTTAATATATTTCAGTTCTAAATTCCAAAGAATCAAACTTTCAATATCTTAACTCTATCACAACAGGCTCGTGTATCTTACATAACCTTGTAACCATCATGTAACAATGGTGGTATACATACTATGACTCTAAAAGTACTTAATTACCTTCATGAAATTTGGCAAGCTGTCAGTGAAGTTTAAAAGTCTTTTGTAGACAAAAAATCAGCATTGTTATTCAAGTATTTTTACTAAAACCTTGTAATTATATGTTGTCAAAGTGTTGACTGCTTCAAGTGTAAAGTGATTTTCATGCTAAGATTAAAAATACTTTTCTTCATCTGAAAATTTTCAAATTTCACTTGAATTATCTCTAAAAAAACTTCCTAAATAAATATTAAATGTTTTTTTTCCAGAAAACTTCACATTTCATGTGCTATTTGTATAATATATCTCTATACAGAGTTCACTGACTTCGTAACCACCATAAAAAAAATTAGAAAATAATTCTAAATTACTCTTTTTTTTATATTTAATTTTATTGCCTTTGGAACCATGTATAACTAATAACCCTGCCACACAAGTTGTAAGTCACTTGGGAATGTGTAGCTCACATTACCATATCAAATTATGTAATGCATAGGTTATTCAAGAGCGGCTGGTAAACACACCTTGTGAAGAATATGTATTATTATTACTATTATTCTTTATTTTACCTAATCTAACCTACTAAGTTTATAATTTTTACATTTTAGTTACTTTTATAATAACAAATAAAGAATACACATGAAAAACAAGAAATATAGTACTTACCCAGGTCTTCTATTTTTGCTGTCAACAGTTGATGAAACTTAACCCTACTTTTTATACTAATGGTAGGTACTACTGCAATAAGTAATTAAAAAAACAACTAAATAGTACACCTAAGAACACAGAATAATAACATGTAAAAAATCAGACAATGTCCTATAACGAAAAAGTTTATAATTTTTACATTTTAGTCACTTTTATAACAACAAATAAAGAACAGACATGAAAAACAAGAAATATAGTACTTAACCGGGTCTTATATTTTTGCTGTCAACTGTTGATGAAACTTAACTCTACATTTTTATACTAATGGTACTACTGCAATAAGTAATTTTTTTTAAAAATTAAATAGTGCACCAAGGAATACAGAATAATAACATGTAAAAACCAGACAATGTCCTATAACTATGATACTTATTCTGGCTTTCTAACTATGCGATAAAAGCTGTTAAAATTCAGCTAATTTCCTGTGGGAATAAAGTTTGAACTGGAAGTGAAATAGATAATTTTCTTTACAGAAAACAATGTGATATAATATGTCATTTCATTGATTAAAACTTTGACATTTTTATTGGTTATAAATAATATAATCTTAAACATCAGAGAAAACTACTGGCAATTTGTGAAAGAGGATGTGACAGGTGGACATGGCAGGAGGGGTCTGATTTTCTAGTTTATTGCCTCTAAAACCAAATAAGATTGAAGGCTATAAAATTATGCTTTGCTTGAGTAATAAGTATATCGTAATGAGTAATTTATGCTAAATTCTATAATTTTTGGAGGGATGGTAAATAAGTTAGAGAAGAAGGAAGAGATAGAGAGCAAATGTCAGAGTTCTCATACTAGGGGAGATTGAGGATTTAAAAAAAATATTTCAGTATAAAACTAAGAACTTAAAAATGAAATAATATTAACATTTGGTTTGTTAATTATATTTTGATGCCAAATTTATTCATATACATTGAACGTAACTGTGTAAAAGTTTGTGAGATGCGCTTGACCTACCTGATATGAAAGGGTTAATTTTGATCTTTGATTTCATCTATTAGTTTTCAAATATTTTCAGTATAAAAAGTTAAAATATTCTACTGAAGTTTTTATAAATATTCTCTTTCACTTCATTTGACACCCATCAAATAATACTCACTTCTAACTTGTTGCTCTAAACTTGTGATAACCTCTATGGCTTGATGAAGCACACTCAGTTTGGTTTGAGATTTAAATGAAACTCACCTCTAACTTGTTGCTCTAAACTTGTGATAACCTCTATGGCTTGATGAAGCACACTCAATTTGGTTTGAGATTTAAATGAAACTCACTTCTAACTTGTTGCTCTAAACTTGTGATAGTCTCTACAGCTTGATGAAGCACACTCAGTTTGGTTTGAGATTTAAATGAAACTCACCTCTAACTTGTTGCTCTAAACTTGTGATAACCTCTACGGCTTGATGAAGCACACTCAGTTTGGTTTGAGATTTATCCGTTTTCAAATGCATCATACACATTCGTCCCAATTCTTTAAATGCTTCATTGATATCTCGGACACGAATTCTAAGGATGGAAAATTAATCATCCAAATAAGTATGTATAGTTATGTAAGAATTTACAACTACAACGTTTAAAAAAATAATAATTACGTGATTTCCAAACATTTATTAATATTTTATTTTCATACATATGGTTAAGTTCATGAAGAAATTGCAGGGAATAAGAAAATACTGAAGTGAGTTATGTTCATTCTATCAACTTCCACATTACTGGTGTTATAAATAAACAACCAAGATACAGCATAATAGCTCAGAATCAGATACAAGCTCCTCAGAAAAATGAATTTAAAAAATACAGAAAAACATTATTACTTTGAATTATATTCTCACAATATTAGTTATGAGCTAATTGATGAACTGAAGCATTAAAAGACAGAAGCTCCAAACTTTATATTAAGACTGAACAAAGACTAAATCCTGAATTCCTTGGTCAAATATATACCAAGCTCCAATTCAAGTTCTTTTCAAAGGTTATCTAAAACAGTGGTTCTGAACCTTTTTCCAACTGAGAACCAACTAGTTCCAATCCCACAATTTCATGGATTGCTTTGCACAATATCAACTTTTTAAAGAACTTTTATATTACATTGTAAAACCTCCAGTAGCTACATTTTAAAACACACATTTTTTACCCAACCATACTGCAAATCAGCTGAAACCTCCCTGTGGATTAGTACCGGTGTATGTTCTAGTAGTTTGGAACTAGTGGTTTAAGATCAACTACTATTCAATCTGATGACCCTTATACATGTTGGCAAGTGATCATTAATTCTGATCACAATGATTCTTTTGGATGTTTCCATTCATTCTGAACATTATAATACATCTGGAAGTTTGGATTAATTCTGAACATACTGATACTTATGGAAATTACAACTTATTCTGAACACAGTTATATGGAATTGTTTGGAAGTTTACACTCAATCTCAATACACTGATACTGAGATTTCTGGATATTCAAATTGACTCTCAACTGATACTGAGATGCCTCGAAATTCACATTCATTCTGAGCACATTAATGCTCAAATCTGGGATTTTTCATTTTTCCTGAACAACTGATACATATATGTTAGGAAGTTAAGTATTTGTGAAAGTTTCATGTGTTTCCAAAAGTTAAGCAAAGTTTGGCAAAATTGAAAGTTTATTCTTAATTAACTGAAAAATGTTCTTACCTTTTTTTAGTAGACCTAAGCATTCCGTAAACATAAACTCTCTAATTTTCATGAATAAAATTTTCACACTGATGCTGCCTCAAAAATTTTTTACCTTGTCACATTTGGATACTTGGTTAAACAGTAAAATAAATTTAGGTACAAGTTTTTTTGATATCTATCATAAATACAGATGTTTTGACATTTGGCACAATATAAAAGAATAAGTTACCAAAAATATGTATCATGCACACATCTATATAAATTAATCATTTAAACTTAAAGCATCCACAGAGTTTTGTATCATAATTTTCCTACTTGCTGTCTTTTAAGCACAGGTTATCTATTGTAGTTATAGTATTCAAATCATTCCACTGAGAAACTATTACTGCATACAATTTACTTATTATATTACAGCATATGCTTAAACAATGCAAGTACTAATGAATATAATATTTGATTGTTGTAGGTCTTAGAATCTTTAAGCAAATAGTTGTTATTAAATTGGAATGCAAATTCTAAAAAAAGTATTGTTAAAGAACCCTGCTAATATGCCACTTAAAGTTCATCCATTAATACTTTCCAATTAATCTAACCAAATTACAAAGAAATATGGATGGAAAATTTGGCTTATGTAAACTTATTTGATATTCAATTTAATTTGATTATCAAATCATTTTGTGGTTATGTTAATTATTGTTTTCACAATATAGCTCCTATTGGTTATACATACAGCTTTAACTAACCTTTCCCTAGCATTATTAGCTTGCCTCCTTTCTTTTTCTCTCTCTGCTTTAACTTCTGCATGATCATCTTCATCAGTAGACCTACAGTAATATTCAATTTCATTTTTTATCCTTTACATGAAATTCATATGCTTAGAAATAAAACCTTGGTAAATATAAAATGCAAAAATTAATTTTCAGGAAATATTTATACTGTAAAGCAAAGGATGCTATAGATTAAATAGTGTAACTTAAAATGAGTACTTTTATAAAATAAAATTATTATACATATTTCAAAAAACAAAACTGTACCTTCTGAGACATACCATGTACTTTTATCACAAAACAAGGTGAAAGTAAAATAAACAATAAATAAGCCACAGTTTTCATCAAATGATCCATATGATATTTCTTTAAACATTAATACTGTTCAGTGGGTAAAGAAAAAATGATTTTTATGCAATTATTTAATGAAAAATCACAAAATCCTACATTTCACACATTACATACAAGACTAGAAGGTGTTTAATTCAAGCTTAGTGAATACAAATAAATAAATTTTAATCTTTTACAGAAAGGTCACGGGTGAAAGGCCATGTCATCGCGTTTGTTGACTCACATTCAAAATTTTATTGCACTACTATTTCTTGAATTTATGTCAATAAGTTTGGTATCAAACTGTAGTTTATAATTCAAAGTTTAGTATTGTACCTTACTCAGGTTCTTAATTAATATTTAAATATTAAAAAACACAGTTAAACATCGTTTTTGTGTGTCACATAGTATGTTGAATGCAGCACTGGTTCAAATGAGATGTTTGTGATGTCAGAATACTAAGTCTATAGTTTCGTACGAATTAGGAACTCAAATTACCAAAACTGACAAGCTATAATATAAAATAAGAGCCTCTTATCTTTTTAATTTGCTAAGATATTGCTCATGTAATAAATCAAATACAGTGGCACCCATTTTTGGAAATGCTCCCTTATATACATTTAGTTCTATATATGACATGAATAACCAATCAGAAGCTCAGAATGTATGCCTAGTGGCTTTCTCAGCCATTATCACATGTTTGAATGCCATTTCTTTCTTTCAAACCAGGATTTCAATAAGGTAGGTTGTGTCTTTAGTCTGCTCA